TTACACATAATATAAGTGCCTACAATGTACTTAACTTTTGGTAATAAAAAATAGCAAATCTTCTCCATTCTTATAAATCTCCAGACTAGGAAAAGAGACAAAACTGATTGTGGATGAAATAGAAACTAAGTGACAAAATAAAGGTAAACTGATTGCTAGTGCAGTAAGAATTCAGAAAAAGGCAAAATCATGGATTATCATCTTACTACAAAAAGGATCTGAACTAGGCCTGGAATAATGGATGAGACTTTATTGCCAGGCAAGAAAGAGGGCATGGGCACAGGAAAGATGGTGGAATGAGATGGACATCATTAACCTAGGAACACGTATGACTGCACATATGGTGCAGTTGTACATCCTGTACAACCAGATAAATGAAAAGTTGTGCTCCATTTGTGTACAATGAATCAAAATACATTCTATCATATATACTAATTAGAACAAATAAATTTAAAAAAAGAAAAGATAATGGATAGTTCTGAATATAAGAAATTGCCCAAATCTGTTGTCTGCAGATGAAATTTAGAGGTTTCAGGAACTTGGGTGAAAGAGAAATTTACAACTTTTGTTTTCACTAATTTTAGCACTTTCTTAGTAATAAACATAAGCATCAAACCACAGGAGCATTTGTAACCATGACTTTGTCATCAATAGAAATCACAGATTTTTTATGTAAGATTACAACCATAACAAGTATCTCAATATTATTTACATTTATTTCCTTTGGTAAATATTAGGTTCACCCCTTTCTTCTTATTTAATGGTTAATTAAAAATTACAGATAGCTTACTCTCTCAAAAATTAATTTATTATTTAATAACATTTCAGTGTAACTTGTTCCTTTGTAATCCAGTGTATTTATTTTATGCATTCAAAAAGCATTACTCTGAAAAAGGGTTCATAGTCTTCACCACATGTCCAATGGAGTCCTTGGTACTAGGATAATGCTTCTGTTTATGGATCTGGGAATGTATTTGTTTTCTTAAGGGGAGGGGTATTGGAGGGATGATTGGTTTTGTTGGTTTGTTTTTTGGTAACCACATCCATAATTGACTCATTGAGCTTACAATCAATCTAAGCTCCTTTTTCACACCTGTTAGACTATCTGTGTTAGTCCCTAATACAGGTAAGTAGCATAATTATCCAGCCAGTAGCTGGCACTGACTGACAAACATCATAAAATTCTTAGAGCAGTAGTTTATAAAAAATTTCTGACTACCTAAATATATGACACATTAATAACCATCTGAGGTAATAATTTTGCAAGATATCATCTATATGTGAATATATCTTCCAAAGAAAATGGCATTTCTTTTTAAAACAGTAGTCCTTTGGTTTCTTTGCACCGTGTGAGAAAGAGAAGGGCTCTTCCACTTATTACTGTGTATCAAATCACCCCAATTCTTAGTGATATAAAACAATCATTTTGTTACATCCAAGCCTTCTGTGGGTCAGGAATTTGGACAGACACCAAAGGTAGTTCCATGATATCTTGGTCCTTAGGTGGAAAAAAATATATATTGATAACTAAAAGTTAGAATCACCTCATTAGAAAACTAGGAATTACACTACCACTTGACCCATCTATCCTTCTCCTCAGTATTTCTCCAAGCTATAGCAATACAGCCATTTCAATGTTTATAGCACCACAATTCACAACAGCCAAATTGTGGAATCAACCCAGATGCCTGTCAGTAGATGAATGGATCAAGAAAATATGGTACATAAACATAATGGAGTATTACTTGGCCATAAATAAGAATGAAATAATGCCATTTGCCTATTATTGTATGAAAATGGAGAAAATCATGCTAAATGAAATAAGCCAGACTCAGAAAATCAAGTGTTGAGTGTTTTCTCTATATGTGGAAACAAGAGAAAAATAAGGGAAAGAAGGCAGTTGAAGAGGGATTGGGATATCATAAAGATACAGGAAAGATCAGTGGAATAGAAGAAGGAGAACAAGAGCAAGGGAGGAAGGAATAGAAAGGGAAAGAAATATGGAATGAATTTAACTATCATATTCATATATAAAGGTACCAAAGGGAATTTCACCTGTATGTATATATAAAAGAAAGGAAATTTAGTAGAGAAGAGAGAATAAGTGGAAGGAGGAGGGAAGGAAAGGGTAAAGGGAATGGGGATTGAAATCAAATTTCTTGCATTATGATTTTTTCAAATGAACCCAAATACTATTTATAATTATAATGTTCTAATTAAAAAGAAGAAAAAGGTTAGAATCTACAAGGAGCATCTTCATTCACATATCTAGCATTTCATGCTGGCTGTAGCTGTGCCCTCAGCTGGGGCTGTTCTCAAGAGCACCTGTGCATAACCTTTCCATGTGGCCTGGGCTTCCTCCCAACATTGTGCGCTCTTGCTTCCTGGTAGTCAGACTGGTGAGATGGCAGTTCAGGGGTCTAAAAACAAGTGCCCTGGTAAATAAGGTAGAAGTTATATTGTCTTTTATGACCCATCCTCAAAGGTGATGAAACATCAGATCTGCCACACTCTATCAACTTGAATAGTCACAAGCCCACCCAGGTTCAACAAAAGAAGTAAAACTTGCCACTTGATGGTAGAGCAGCAAGGTCATATTGTGCAAGAGTATGTGGAGCATATGATGCTATAGTTTTCTTTGTATTGGAAATGTAGTCTGTACCTGTAAATAGCTATAAAACTGTAGCACTTGAAAGTATTTGGACCCGACCTGCAGTGGCACAGTTTTCATGGAATGATTATAAATGACACATCATTTGCCATAATGACTCAAGTTTGGAAATGAGGCTTATAAATTTCTCATTATTTAGGTTGAAATTTCTCATTATTTAGGTTGGAAGAGGGTCTATGGTCTTTTTCAAATTTGAAGATTGGGTTGTTCTAAAACTTTGTACATCTGTGTGTTTATCAGCAGAAGATATGAAAGCCATAAATATTATCTAACACATATAATAAGGACAGAGGCATAACTGTTCCATATCTTCACCAGAAAAAGTTGTGATGTAGGGCTAAAGAACCATAGAGCACTTACCTAGCATGTACAAGGCCCTGGGTTCAATCTCCAGCACTGTAAAATGTAAGAAGAGAAAAAAGTTTTGATGTAAAAAAAGAGCCACAAGGAGGGGTGGTATGGCATATAAATTATACCTCAATAAATTTGTATTTTTTTAAAAAGGAACCATAGTATTGAATTCTAGGTAATGATGTACAAGCTGCAGTGATCAGGGCTAAAGTGTACTGATATCTGCAACTTACTTTGAAATTTACCAATAATTTGATAAATTGATGGACAGATAGATGTTTAGAGAGGTTTGGAAGTAAATACAGAGAAAGGTCAATTGCACAATGCAGGTGATATTTTTATGTGTATTCTCTAAAAAGTCAGCTGTTATATGCTTGTAATTTTTCATATTTAAATATTGAGAGAAATCATGAAATATCACTGTATAATTACTGGCATGCCCTTTAGAAGGGGGTAAAGTATTTTCTTTATTAAATGTTCTAATATAGTTTTAATGAAGTGAAGTTATATTGAATAATGAATCACCTATTTTTATTTAAGTAATTGGATAATTACCTGGTAATATAGAAGACCAGAGGGAAAAATTAGGCACAAAACCTCACCACAGTTCTGTTACTGCAGCATCAAACTTTTGAGACAAATAATTATAACTAGCACAATCTTGCTACTGGAAAAACTGAAAGTCTAAACTTAATGTATAAACAGTACAATCTCCATTTTGAATGCTGTTTGCCCTGCTAAAATCTTACACCTCTTTTTTCTTTTTTTTTTTTTCCGTTTTGTTTGGCCTCAGCAATATGTTCCCTATTTACATTGCACATGAAATCATGAAGGATCACTATTATCTGCCCAACCCCAAAATTGTTTGGCAATTTTTCAAATTGTTTTGCTTGAAATGTACTGAAGTGGTAACCTGCTAATTCAGGCATATACTCCAGCACCTTTACTCCATAGTGAGGCCAAAAGGAGGAAAAAGATTTTAAAAAGATAAGAGGACTGAAAGGCTCTTTTAGTTGTTAAATGAAGAAGTAGTTGGTAAGGATTAGTAAAACTTTAGAAATTTGTAACTCCCCTGATAAAATTTGGGCTTACTGAAACATTTATGGCATAACTGAAAGAAGTACTAATTAGATAAGATTATTCAACAGAACTGAGTGTTTAAGATGCCCTTCTTAACTTTGGATGGGCCAAAGGGTAGGGAGGGAGGGAAGGGGGCATGGGGATAAAGAAAGATGGTGGAATGAGACAGATATCTTTACCCTAGGTACATGTATGATTGCACAAATGGTGTGACTCTACTTTGGGTACAACTAGAGAAGTGAAAAATTGTGCTCCATTTGTGTACAATGAATTGAAGAGCATTCTGCTGTCATGAATAACTGATTAGAAAAAAATAAATAATTTTTTTTAAAAATTAAAATAATATAAAATGCCCTTCTTAAGTGTTCACCAATAACTGGTACTTGTTGTGACATGTCATGCAGAATCCTTGGTCTTGAGAAACGTAAGCAATATAACTAGAATGAAAAGTTGGAGAGAACACCAGGGCCTCAGCAGATTCACACTGCAAGATAAAGCATACTGAAAATAAGTGCCAGGTACCAGATGGAATGAAATCATGCTCCTCTTGCTCTCTTGCCCAGCCTTAGAAGCCAGGCCAGGGGAGTTAGTGATCGTGGTGCAGGAACGGGGGTTATTGCTCAGTATTCACACTGTCCTATCAGTCAAAATAGCCATTCAAAATGTGCCTTCCTATTTTGTATTTTGAGTCTTATTCTTATCTGAAACTTGGAAGCTTTGCCAGCTGACTCAAATTTTGTTCTGCTTAAGACTTTCACTTCCAAGTACATATTTACATACATACATATGTATGTAATACATACATATGTATTTGCCAGTTTTGTTGTTTGTGTGGCTGAATGCTATATCTGGAAACACACACTTTTGAGCTAGTATGAAGTCAATGACTTGCCTTCCACAGTCATGAGGAGGTTCTGAAATTTCTGTTTCAAGGATTTTGACATGTCAGCATGTGTACATCTAGTCTAATGCCAAAATGCCTTATGCCAGTAGCTTCTTTTTGATCCAGGTGTACATGATTTTCCTTGTGGATGTTAACCTGTTGCCATTTAAAAAAAAAAACAAAAACATAAGATTATGGAGTATAAAATAGGCTTACAGCTACAAATGTTAGTATCATACCACACTGCCTTTCATTTGTTAAATTTTTTAATTATGTTGACATCTCTCTTTTTTTCCCAAAAAAGTCTGCATCCAATGCCTGATTTTCCATTCAACCTGTGATGATGCTTCCCAGCTGCTCAGCTGGAATCTGGATTTGCCTTCTCTTATTCAGCACACTTTTGAACCAGTAGCAAGACTTGTGGGGAACTTTGAGGTTTGAAAATTCGAATTTGGCAGTACCCTGGGGACATTAATCAGTCAGAAAATATAAATGAGCAAATCATTTCTCAGATGAAATGGTTCAATTGACAATAATATTGAAATGAAAAAAGCAAAATGTTAACCGAACTAAAAACATATATTCAATTCAGAGGATCATGGTATTGTTGATTTTTTTATGCTTTTATCAGGTTTGATCTTTTCAACCTTTGTAGTTTAAATAATTGGCAATAATTTAACTGTTCTAATGCTAATGAGTTCATCTTTACTGCTTACTCCCTGACTGATACCATGACCCTCTCCATTGCCCTCCTCAATTCTATTATGTACCCATAGCAGTCTGAAACACAGCTCCCTTGCCAGCAACTTTCACAATATTTATTGTGGAAAATATTATTGATTCAAATGGTGGGTGAAAATTATAATTGAACTGTAGTTTATATCATTATCATGTTATAAACATACATAGTATTTCAAGTATTTAAATAACTAAAATGTTCCTCAAATGAAAGCACAGTTATCCAACTTGTCCAATGGAAGGAAGAAAAAACAGCACAAAAAATACTTCTAACTTTAAAGTATCATTTTGTTGTTATTTGTTTTGATCACTTTCCAAAGCATCAGTGATCAAGAATTCAGAACCAGGCACAATGGCATGCAGTTGTAAGTTCTGCAACTCAGGAGGCTGAGGCAGGAGGATCATAAGCTCAAAGCCAGCCTCAGCAACTTAGTAAGAACCTGTCTCAAAAATAAAGGGGACTGGGACTATAGTTCCGTGGTAGGGCACCCCTAGCTTTAATCCACAGTACCACCAAATATATTGTGTGTGTATGTGTGTGTGTGTGTGTGTGCGTTTTATCAGAAAGATGGAGGCAGTACCTGATTTCTACTATATGGATTAAAAAGACTGATAATCTTGGAAATATTGAGCTAGTGTGAGTCTTTTAAATTGGAGTCATTCATTTCAAAATTTATATTCATATAGTTTAATAGCCTATCATCTGTAACTTCTCAGTGATAGTGCCTAGTAAAAGTGCTTATTATAAAAAGCATTCTGTGGGGACTGGGGTTGTGGCTCAGCGGTAAAATGCTCGCCTAGTATGTGCGAGGCGCTGGGTTCGATTCTCGGCACCACATAAAAATAAATAAAAGTATTGTGTCCAACTACAACTAAAAAATATTTTTTAAAAAAGCATTCTGTGGAAGAAAGTAAGCCTTGCAGGCAGATAGCTACATAATTTGCAAGGCCCAGTAAAAATGAAGATGTAGGTCCTCCTGTTCAAAGCACCAGAAAAAGTTTCACTCAAGGTACTTAAATATTTAAAACTTTTCCCTTTCTTCTGAGGTCTTGTTCTCTTTACCTGTATTGGTGTTTTTATTTGCTAATTAAGGTCAGGTTCCTTCAAGACAGGGATACTCTCAGAGCACATATTTCAGAGGCCCCTGAGGATTCACCCAATGTCTTGGGGCACACGCAGTCCATCAGGTGCCAGGGTTTCCCCTCCTGATGGACTTTGCCTTGGCCAGAGCTGAGAGAGTTGAATCAGGCATATCCCCTTCCCACAGACTATCCCAACCCACAATGGATGAATATTGTATTCTCCTCACTGGAATATGATAGGTACCTGATTGGGAGGTGAATAGGAAGCTTGCCCCTGCCTAGTCACCCATCAGATGGCCTGAGGCACTGCCCGCCGCAGGCAAAACAGGTGCCTCCATGCCCTAACTCAAGATGCCATGGAAGCTGGCCACAGTGATACACACCTATAATCCCAGTAGCTGCAGAGGCAGAGGCAGGAGGATTGTGAATTCAAAGCCAGCCTCAGCAACTTAGCGAGGCACTTAGCAACTCAGTGAGACCCTTTATCTAAATAAAATATAAAAAGGGGCTGGGGTGTGGCTCAGTGGTTAAGCACCCCTGGGTTCAATCCTCAGTACCAAAAAAAAAAAAAAAGATGCCATGGAATATGTGCCCAACCCTGACCCTCACCCAGACCTGAACCAGGGCAGAGAGTGAGAGATCTGAGGAGAAGGAGACAAGGTACAGAGTGGGAGATCTGTGGTTGTGACACCTGGGGAATGTCAGAGTAGACTTGGGAGGACAGAATACAGGGCTACATGTAGCCAACCTCCCGGCCCTATCCACTCACCCCACGAATATTCCACTGTCCTAGCAGACTTCACTTGCTGAACATAAACTTAAAGATAAAATTATTAAAAATTTCAAAACAGCAATCCCAAGAGCACTAAACTCCAAGTGCTGGGCTCTTCTAAGCACAGAGTTCTATAAAAGCCCATGAAGCTGGCCTTCCCTGCAGGATAGACCCAAACTATGCTTAAAATAATAATAAAATAATGTCTAACATGTATAATACCAGACACTGTTCTATGTACTTTTCATGTATTAACTCATTAATCCTCAAAAGAATTTATACAGCATATACCATCACTATCTCCTTTTTATAGATGAAGTGAGGGATATCCAGGATCATTCTGTAGTAAAGGACACAGTGAGCATTCAAACCCTGGCAAACTAGCTCCAGAAGATTCTTATTAAAGAACTAAAAGAGGAGTGAATAACCCAGACATTTGGTGGAAAAGCAAATCACACTTATAAACACTGTACTTTTAGAGACTATGTCTTAAAGCAGATTTCTAGAAGATAAAATCTTAATTGATTGCAAGTACTTGGAGTTAATAGGCTGTTGTCTTGGTCTAGCTCGAATGTAAAAAGCAACTATCAGTAGAGTTATCTGTGTGGAAGGACTGGAGACAGTAAATAGAAAAGCAAAGAGGGTTTGTGAATACTCCTAGAATTGTTACATTTTAAACTTTCTGTAGATAGCTACTCCAACTGTAGCCTAATTTCCATATTGCCCTGCCCAAGGTCTTGCAGCTAATTAATGATGGAGCTGAACCTCAAATCTCTTTGTCCTGAAAAGGAAAATTAGCAGGCACCTCTGTTATATTCTTGGTACATGCTTAGGCTTCTCCTCGTTAAGGCTGGACCAAGAAGAGGCGGAGTGTGGGAAGAAGGGAGTGTGAAACAACTTCTGTCTTACTTCTGACTTTATTTTCTTTCTGTCTTCCTTTATTCAAGAGGATTCATGTTTCTTTGTGTAATTGCTAATGTTAACTACAGCCATTTCATTTTAATCATAATTACTACTGTAATTACTTTTAATTGAACTTGCTATTATAAAATCTTGACTATAATGGAGGGATTGCTGGACCAACTTCTCTAACCCATTCCTTCAAAATATGAGAATTCCAAAATAATATGCAGTGAAATTTCTTGACTCTTATGCCTTCAAATCACCAATAAGATGGATCCTAGAAACCCTAACTTTATTTGTGAAATTTGCAAGTGGCCAGTCCAGGGGCCATGACTTAATTGCTCCACCAACTCTCTCTTACTTCAGAGTATATTTGCCACCACACAAAAGCATGAAATAAGAGTCAACGTGCTTAACCCGTTTGTGTAGGAATTTCAGCTCAGGAGGTATTCACAATAAACTATTTCTTTTACTCCTGGTGGGCTTTTGACTATGCTTTGTCAGATCTTTTTCTGTCTCATAAGTGTATCTTTGCCCTATTCTACAGTTTTAGAATCACTTGTTTATTAAAATTCAATGTTTAAAACTTATACCTCAAATGCAGGTTAAAATCTGATTTGCCATCTACTCAATGTAGAGTTGATCCAGGATTCTCAGTATTTGAAATGTTGAAAGAATTAGAGACCAGATTCTGGTTGTGAAGATTCTGGTTCTCCCTCCTCTTTGCACAACCTCGTTCGTCCAATTCACTGGACCAGAAAAAAGCATGGGCACTTGGTATGTGTTTCTTCACACAGCTGGTCCTCTGTTGATTATGACTGCTCCTGTATCTCTGAGGCTGGTATCCACATGCTGGCCCTCTCAACTGCTAGATGTAAAGAGTTCTTCAGAGGGTCCTCTAGGTTCACAATGCCATACTGTTTTAGTGTCAAAGTACCCACCCACAGTGGTATGCTCACCAGTCTCTTGCTGATGTGTTCCCCTTGCCAAGCAGGTCATATTCTTGCTAGAACATCAGCAAGCTAACTCAAGTACAACTCATTTGATTTGTCCCACGGGAATTTTTTATGTCCTTACTGGTCAAAATTGTATACATGCAGGCTGTTCCACCACTGCCCTTCACTCTGCCTGCCATTTCTCCCTTCCTTGCTTAATAGGCACAGGAACAGATTAGAATGTTCTCTGCCTAAAAAGATGTTGAACAGGGAATGGAAGGCCAATCTTTTCATTTTGCAGGCATAGCCAGTCTTTGAGTTAGTCTCTGAGAGCCCTACTGTCATCTTGAAACCAGCTTCAGGAATACACTTTCCTCATACCACAAGTACTGTTATTTTCACAAAGACAAGTGACCCTGTAACTCTTGTGTCCACCTTTCCCACACTTCTTATATGGATATTGGGGTGTTGTCTTGGCCCAATTGTTGAAGTTTCTCTTTGGGCTTCACTTAATCCTTATTGTTGTCAGGATGGGTCCATCCTGTCAAGCAATAGTAAAAGTACCACTCCCCATGTTGTTATAATTATATGCTCATAGAAGGAGCAATTCCGATGCAGAGCAAAGGCCTTAAATTCTTGCTAAACAGAAATTAAATAAGAGTTAGTTCCTCTGCCCTTTGAAAAAAGACAAAGATTATAAAAATGCTTAACAAAGGAGGGTATTATGTCAGATAGACTTTGACAAAGTAGATAAGATTGAAAGAAGATATTTTAAACCAAAGGTGAACATGAACAGAAGTTGAGATTTAGAAAATTGCGGAGCAGATTTAGGAAAATCAAGTCAGCTTATTTACAGTGGAAAAGTAGGATATAGGACCAGAAAAGTAGGTTGAGAACATAAGATTGGGATTATGAAGCCCAGAATTAAGGAATTAAATCGAGCAGAGTAACCTGTAAAAATGGAGAAGTGGCATTATAACAATTTTAAAGGAAAAACTAAGGTGGGGAGTGAGCTTAAGGAAGCACATAGAAAAGGAAAATGTAAGCAATATTGGGATCTTTTGTGGTTTTTGATGACCGATTTTATAGGATAGGATATGCCAACATATCCCAAATGCATGCTGTGTTACCACAGATCTATTAGATGCTCCAAATCAACAGTGAATTCTCTAGTCATATATGCTGAGAAAACTCAACCATATAGTCCCCACTTAGAAATCATAGTTAAAGTAATATAGAAATCCATGGGCTGGGGTTATAGCTCAGTGGTAGAGCACTTGCCTGGCACAGGTGAGGCACTGGGTTCAATTCTCAGCACCATAAATAAATAAATAAATAAATGCATCATATCCATCTACAACTAAAAAATATTTTTTAAAAAAGTAACAGAAATCATAAAGGAAAACAAATCATGACCTCATTTAACCCAGTATTTTCCACAATGATTTTAGGTTTATAGAACTTCCTATTTTAAAACTCCTATCATATAGAACCAGTATTTCAAAAACCATACTTTGGGAACCACACCAGTCCATGTTATATGATATGAATAGATTGACGTAGTGATTTGTACATTAATATTGTATTTTCTTTACAAACAATAAAAAACAAAAGCATGATTATGATAAACTCTATTTCTGGGTAGAAAATTGTTCTTGGGCTCTAAGGTCAAGCTGTATCTCTTAAGGCTTGGCCTTGTTTCATCCAAAATGAAATATTTTTCTAACAAAAGACCAACACAGCTATAACAATCTCTGTATTGACTTCTGTCGCCTTAACAAACATCAGCATCTGTGCTCTTAACTTTGGGTTCAAAAAGAAAGAACCTTTATTTTTAGAGTGCTTTTTAACTTTAAAGGAACATATGTAAAGGTTTTGTTTGGGAGAATAAGAAGAAGAAAGCTGTGTCTCTTTCATTATATTATTACACATAATCACTGCTAAGAATTTGTTAAATTTTGAAAGAAAGGAAGGCATTAATTACATTTTATGTACAAAGAAATTTGAGGCTTAAAGATGTTGCTTTATTGGTCCAGACTAGCTGTTGTATATAAAAATGAGGATTTGGGAGCATCGGATCTCATGCTCTTTCTAATGAAGTACTCCTCCTTAAAGAATAAGAGATAAAATTACGACTTTTATTGTATTTGTTTGTAAATTATTCCCAAACTTCTTAGAAGACCTACCCGCCAAAACTACTGTGTTTACTCTTATTCTTGGTTGGAGTTCGCCCCCTCTACATAATTAGTAGATATATCTAACCTATATCTGACATATATCTACATAATATGTCAGTGTGTTTAGTAGATATACCTTACCTTTATACTTTTCACTGTAACTGCTAAGGATACCAATCAAATAATAAAGAAACTGGCTCACAATCCCCAGCACCGCCAAAAAAAAAAAAAAAAGAAAGAAACTGGCTCAGAAAGATTATGACTTACCATGGTCATAGGACAAGTTGATAGCAGAAAGAGCACATACCTTCAACTCTTTATAGCACAAATACTGTGTAGCACTAGCACTTAGAATAGGAATTCCAAGTACACATCCGTTGAATAGAAGATTTGTTGGGTGAGGTGGTAAACAACATTTTTTTCAAACATCTACAGTATATTTTTCCAATTAAGGAGGCTCATCTATATGAAAAATAATAGTACTTGTTACTTTATATCAAGCATGAAATATTGCTATGATACTGTTTTTTAAAAGACTTATAAACAAAGCTTATAAAAGAAACAGACTTTACCTCCAACAATAGCATAATGATGAATATAGGCTTTAAAAGCCATTTCTTTATAGCTGTAATATTGTTCAAATACCAAGTTAATAGAAAAATCTGGTTTATCATCTTTCTTATTTTACGTGTTTTGATGTGTCATTTATAAATTATATTTCAAAGAGGGTTTTTGTAAGTGTAGTTACTTTGCCATTCACTCTGAGAGTACTTTTAAAATAAAGAAGAATGTGTAATCTATTAAAAGGAAGAGTGGTTATCTCAGAGAATTGATTTAGGAATAGGGAAAGACTCTTAGTTTTTGTTTTATAAATGAATTTGTTTTATATTGTTTCTACATTATATTAATTAGTTATTAACATATATATTACTGTTATAATTTTTCAAAGTTCAGGAAATTATTTCTAAGGAAGTAAAGAATATAATTAATAGACTGCATGTATACTTTTGTTAAAAAATTAAAGACTTCAAACATATAGGTACTATTAAAAAGCTTTTGTGTGCCCATTACCTAATTGGGAGATATATTAACATTAAAATGTTAATATAATTAAAATTAATATAATTTAAAATATTGAAAGGTAAATATCCTAAACTTGCCCTGTTAACCAATAGCAAATGTGAATTCTCAGGCTTTCCACCCTGATTCAGATTGGTATAAAAAATAGCACATGCTGCAGAAGCTCTACCACAGTGTCCTGCTGCAAAACAGTTGTAACCATTGGTTGCTGGGCAATGGACAACACAGTAAACCCAGCTCCCTTCACTTCTACGTTTATTTATCTAGATTAATGATGTAGACCATCATAAACAAACAAGATATTTGTTATATAAATAGGATGGCTAATGCATTTCAGGAAATTTTAAGATTTTCCCTAGCGTTCATGTGTACTTTCAGTGCTTTTAACCTTGAAAGAGATATAGGTTGTTTGGAAACCAAAATTAAAGTTAGATTGAAAGGGTACAATATGATCTCCTTACCTCATGATAAATCATACCATGAATTTTAGGAAGGTAAACTGGGTTTCCCATTTGAATTGTTTCCTAGCAGATAGAAAGGAATTATAAAATAATTCATTTATGTTAAAGCACAGAATAGTCATATCTGTTAAGAGGAGAAAATCTCAAGTTATTCTTGGTAATCATGCCCTATCAAAATTCAAAGGAAAATCAAATCCAAAATAAAATTTTTCATCAGTAAAACAAAATATTACAATTCCAGTTTCTATTACAACATGTTTGTCCATTTATAAACGTCATAAAAGTTGCAAGTACAGTATATTTCAAGTATTTTACAAAATATGATGTCTACTGTCAGCTGTGATGGCTGTACTGCACAATATTAACAGTCAGTACAAATGCAAGGTCTCTGAACAGATTGCTTCCGCAATTAGTATCTATGTACTAAGTTAGCAATAAAAATATAAGCAGGTCCATTTCCTGAGGCTCTACCTAACAGAGATGTTGCAAAAAGAAAATGAAATAATGAATAATCATTTTAAGTGTGAAATGTAAAACATTATCCATGACACAAAGTCTAATAAAAATAATAACATTAAAACTGGAATTGGACTTCAGATCTCAAAAAAAGATGCTGTTTTTATATTCTTCTACTCTTTGGTTATCATGGTAATTAGTGGAAAAGCTTTGGAGCTTTTTATATTAGTAACCGCTTCAACTATTTAATGGATTGGCCCTTTTACTACTATAACTACCATCCTTATACACTTAGCTATTTCCATTAAACAATCAGTATGGTCAATCAAAATTATCATACTGCCTATAAATGAGTGTGTAACGCAGCCTGAGTGAGGGCTTTTTCCTAAAATGCTTGTGTTATCTCCTATCATGTCTACATAATTCGGCCCCATTGACTACAGTACCATTAATTTGACTGAGACTTGTCCATCTTCAGATAATTTAGTGGCCATTATTCAGTGAGATTATCTTATTTAAGAAAAGTCTAGTAGTGACATAAGCAGGATAGTGGAATTGAAAGCTCCAGACCCTTCTTCCTTCAACAGAAACACAACACATAGACCAATTCCCTTTGTAAGAAACCCAGAAACCAGTTAAAAGACTCCCCCCCAAAAAAGCACAAGACTCTGCAGCTGCACCTAGGCTAGTAGGAAAATTCGTGGCACCCTCTTGCAGTATTTCCTTCTCCTGACATAATAACAGGTATTCAAGAATTGTCTTATCCCTTTTGTATTGCTACAACAAAATTCCACAGCCTGGGTAATTTATAAATCACAGGTATATATTTCTCAGTTCTAGTGGTTGGGAAGTCTTAAAGCAAGGTAACAGTAGGTTCTGTGAAGGCCTGTTTCTCAATAGATGGTGCCAACTCATTGTCCTTTCATTGTGGAAGGAATGGAAGGGCAAAAAAGTGTTCCTTTTAATCTCAAGTTCTTTTAGTAGGCTATCAATCCCATTTGTTTGGGTGAGGCATGATTAAATTATCATTATGAGTCCTCTTAATACTGTTGCATTGGAGATTACTTCAACATGGATTTTGGAGAGGAAGTCATAATTAAGGAGGAAACTCCAAGCACCTGGCTTCTCTCTAAGGAAAGAAAAAGAAGACTGGACCATATACCAATGTTCTGAGTTTGCAGGGGAAATGGCCAAGGACTAGATTCTGTGTCACTTTGCTCAGAGCACTGATAGGACCTGGCATATTCTCAATGCCTGGAGCCACTGAAAGCAAAGGAACTAGGTGATGTGCTACTGCTCCAGAGGACTTGGGGTATAACAGACATGGGCCAGTACAGCTTGGTGACCTCTTCCTCAGGGGAAAAGAGAAGCACAAAACATGTATCCAACATTATAGCTTTTCATGTGGCTGCACTAGGACTGCTTTTTTTCTCACCTAACTCAAGGCAGGACCTTGGTGGGACCCAACATGCTCTAGATCCCTAGAGGCTACTGAAAACAAAAAAGGAAATACATAGTGTCCTGCTGTTTTAGAGGACTTATGGTACAGCAGAGAGACGCCAGAGGGAGCAAGAGATTGTAAGCTCCTGAACAAAAAGAAACTAGCAAATCCTGTATGAATCTAATCACACAAGTCTAAAGAAGACATATCCACAGAAAAGAGAGGCCCCCCCCCCAGGATCGCTTACTGGGCTGATTGCTAAAAGTTTCTTCCTGTGCAAAAGTCTGCAAAAGATTTGGAAAGATAGCTATTTTTTTCAAATGTGTTGATACCAGTGCAAAGTTACAAGGAACATGAAGAAACAGGGGAGAATGGCCCAATCAAAGGAACAAAATAAACTTCCACAAACTCTAAAAAAGTGAAGTATAATGAATTACCTGACCAAAGAAAAAAATCCAGAATAACCATCATAAACATAATAAGCTTAGGGGGGAAATGCCTGAATAAAATGAGAATTTCGACAAAGAAACAAAAAGAAATGTAAAAAAGAACCATACAAATTTGGACCTGAATAATACAAGAGCTCTTATGATTTGCAACTAGAACATACCCCAAAGGCTCATGTATTAAAGGCTTGGTCTCCCATACAGCTGTTGGAGTTGGGACTCTTTGGAAGTGATTAAATAATGAGAGCACTGATCTCATTGGTGGATTAATCCATTGATGGATTAATAATTTGATAGAATTATTGAGAGGTGATGGAAACTGTTGGAGGTGGGACTAGGTATATTCCCTGGAAGGGCATATACTATCCCTGGTCTCTTTTCCCATTCATCTCTTCTCTTCTCTCCTTCACCCCCTTTCCTTTCCAGTTGCCATAAGGTATAAAGTTTTGCTTTGCCATATCCATCTGCCATAATGGATTGCCTCACCATAGGCCCTGAAAGAATGGATGCTATCTAACCATGAAAAGAAAACTCTAGAATCATAAGCTGATGTTTTCAGGTATTTTGTCACAGAAAGGCAAAGCTAACTATAAGAACTGAGCTGAAAAGGGGGTTCAAAAGCAGACTTGATCAAACTAAGGAAAGATTTAGTAAACATGAAGACATGTCATTTGAAATTATCCAGAGAAGCAAACAGAAAAAAAAAAAAGAGTAAAATAAAGCAAATTAAAGAGTAAATTATGGGACACCATTAACCTGACCAATATACATTATCATGAGAGTTCATGAAAGAGAAGAGAAAGAAGCAAAAAGTTATTAGTGGGCAAAATTTCTTTCCAAATCCAGAGTAAGAAATTGATTTAAGAAACATGATGGATCCAAATAAGAAGGATCAAAAAAGTTTACACTAAGGGGCTGGGATTGTGGCTCAGGGGTAAAGCGCTCACCTAGCACGTGGGAGGCCCTGGGTTTGATCCTTAGCACTACATAAAAAAATAAATAAATAGGTAGGTAGGTAGGTAGGTAGGTAGATATATAGATAGATAGATAGATAAAAGTTTACACTAAGACACAATGTGATTAAATTGTCTGAAATAAAAGAATTTTCAAAGCAGCAAAAGAAAACAAATCATCATGTACAGGGAATTTTTTTTAAACTATCAGATTTCTCAGCAGAAACCTTGGAGAATAGAGAGAATAGGATGATACATGCCAAGTGCTGGAGTAGGGGGCAAAAAAAAAAAAAAAAACTCCCAATAAAGAATAGTATATCTGGGGCTGGGGTTGTGGCTCAGTGGTAGAGTACTTACCTAGCACATGTGAGGCACTGGGTTCAATTCTCAGTACCACATATAAACAAATAAATAAAGGTCCATCAATAACTAATAAAAATATTTTTTAAAAAAGAAGGGTATATCTGGCAAACTGTCCTTCAAAAATGAAAAATAAAGAAAAAGGAGAAGAGAGAAAGGCTTTCCCAAATTAAAAAATTTAAGGTAGTTTGTCACCACTAGCCCTGCCTTCCAAAGAGTCCTTCAAGTTGAATTGAAATGACACTAAACAGCAACACAAAAATATTTTAATGAATACAATATAGAATGATATGATTTGTGACATTGGTAACAAAGTACTGGGAGGGAATATAGAATTTGTTGTATGTAACTGACATTAAGTTGTTATCACCTTAAAATATATTATTATAACTGAAATGTTTTAGGTAAACCCATGGTAACCACAAAGAGAATACCTATGGAACATACAAAATAAAATAAGAAAGGAATCAAAAGGATGTCCCTACCAAAAAAAAAAAAAAAATCAATAAAATACACAAACCAGCAAGAAACACAAACTATAAAACAGACCAAAAAAATGGCAACAATAATTTTTTCTCTGTTTTACTTATAATTACTTTAGATGGAGTAATATGTCCAGTAAAAGATGCAGAGTGGATAAATGAATTTAAAAGTAAAATCCAGTTAATAATATTTAAAGAGATATCCTTAGATTTAAGGACACATATTATCAAATCGTATTTTATTTATATACAAATATGCCACAATGAAACCTACCATTCTGTATAAATAATATACACCAATTTTTAATAAAGGCACATTTAAGATAAAAGGGAGAGGATATGAATGATATTCCATATAAATGTTAACTAACAGAGAACAGGAGCATCCGTATTTTTTAATTTTAATTTGTTATATATAGAGCACAATTTTTCATATCTCTGGTTGTATACAAAGTATAATCACAGCATTTGTGTCTTCATACATGTACTTAGGGTAATGATGTCAATCTCATTCCACCATCTATTCTACCCCCATGCCCCCTCCCTTCCCCTCCCACCCCTTTGCTCTATCTAGAGTTTGTCTAATCCTCCCGTACTCCCCCAACCATCCCATTATAAATCAGCATCCTTATATCAGAGAAAACATTCAGCATTTGGTTTTTTGGAATTGGCTAACTTCACTTAGCATTATATTTTCCAACTCCATCCATTTGCCTCAAATACTGTGATTTTATTCTCTTTCAGTGCTGAATAATATTCCATTGCATATATACACTACATGTTCTTTATCCACTCATCTACTGAAGGGCATCTAGGTTGGTTCCACAGTTTAGCTATTGTGAATTGTGCTACTATAACCATTGATGAAGCTGTGTCCCTGTAGTATGCTGTTTTTAAGTCCTTTGGGTATAGACTGAGGAGTGGA